TGTTCCAGGCACTTAAAATAAAATTGATGAAGTCGTAAGGAAAACATTAAAAGGTTTGCTTTATATAAAGAAGTTCAACCCTTCTGTGATTGGCATTCATTTATCTTTGGATCTATTAATTTGTTTTCTAAACCACTCAAACCTGTTCAAGTAGTTTGAAAACTGTCCTTGCACAAACTTTGTAGTGGGATCTACAAATCGGACTCTCAGTTCAACCCAGGTAAAACACAAAAAGACAACATTGGATTATGATATTCAAAGCCTTCTATCACATTAACAACTTTAAACCTTTTCCTGAGAGTCCCAAAGTTTGTCTGTAAAGATTTTTTCCACATCTGTCATCATTTATTCAGTATGTCAGATAATCACATTTCAATAATTAAAGCTTAACTTCAAGCCAACTTTAAGATGCTTTTCCAAGACAGAAGTACTGGTGTCTCTTTGGCTCTGCCTGAGAGGCACCAGCCGACTTCATTGAAACTGATAGTTGACTCTAATATTTTGAATCACGTGAAGGTTTCAACTGAACCTCTCTCAGCTCGTGTTCCCAAGCTTCATCAACAAAAACCGCCTGCACAAAGGCCGCTTTGTTTTAGAAACAAATTTAGGAGATGTGTTGGATATGAAATGTGGCTACAAGCTGGGATCCAATAGCAGAGTTGTTGCATATTACATTAGTTTAGACCTTTTTGGAATTAACTTTATTTATTTTTAACAATTTAAGCTAACGTTTTCCTGTGAAGCTCTTCAGTTCATCACAGAGTAGGAAGACGGGGAACATGATTCAGCCACAATAAGATGTGCACGCAGTGGTGCTGCTGATATGTGATCTGAATTCCTTCAAGAAAATGCTAGGCCTTTCAATTGATGTGCATATCCTTTTTTTTTTTTAACTAAATATGTCGGTGATTTGTAATGATGCCTCATAAATTTACTGTATTATTGTTTGGTTTCAAGACTTCCTTAATGTGTTAATTTAGTTTGCTTGATGTTGTCAGTGCATCCCTGAGATGGGCCATGGTCTGTGGCTTGAATTACAAAGCATGTTTATTAAAGTCTAACATTTTTTTTTGTTTGTAATGAAAAGTGGGTGGATGTGGGTTGTACAGCCTAAGCTTTGATTTGGCTCGATTATAGTCTAAACATTTCCAGTGCATCGCCTGATATTCGATATGTTGTTAATTTGTGGAATCAAAACTCCATTTGCGGCAAAGATTGCATTTGTTTAGTACCGTGTAGGTTAAAGGTTATGTTGGCAGCTGTTTGGGTCTCTGTGTGTTGTCTATAACAGAGGAGGTTCACCGTGACTGCTCTGCTGTTCTGGTTTGAGCTGGTTAAGAAAAAAAACCTTTTATGTAATGACTACCCAGCTTTTTTTTTTTTTTTCAGCCATTTTCTTTAGGTAGGGTTTCTTGGAACATTTACTTGATACATATGTTTCTTTAGTCGTATTGGACTGAAATAAAAACACAAGTTACAATATATGCATTTTAAAATATCTTGCACAAGCTCCACTGTTTATAATAGTGTTTTTAACAACTTTCTTTGCCCACTGTGGGCACTTCAGCAAGGCAATAAACCCCCCTTCTTCTTCCCGGATGCCTCAAATGGCAGCTCTGCTCCACGCATGTGGGCTGATAGCTCTGTGGTTGGGTCAGGAAGGGCATCCGGCGTAAAATCAATTGCCAAATCTTCATGCTCGCTGTGGCGACCCCGAAGATGGGAGCAGCCAAAAGAAAGGAGACGTAAAATTAAATCTAACTTCACTTTGTGAAGCGTTATTGTGACATTACTGGTGTGTTCAAGCATAAATTATTGGTTGAAACAGTAATAATGATAAAGCTTTTCAGCAATTATAATAAGTTCCACTTCTGTTTTTCTGAGAGATTTTAAGTCGTGGAAGACCGTGTTCATTCTGAGTAATTTTTGTACGTGGTTCCAGAGAATAACATGTTCTATCTGGTCTTTGTACATGTGGGTGGCATTTGTCTGCTTTCACCTTAAATACAGTCTGAATGTTTCAAGTTGGGAACTTTGGGACTATATGTGCTAATCATGAATTTAGGATGGCAATAAAACGTTGGGCGGTCATTGTCTACTTTTGTTGAGCATTGTTAACTTACATGAATCAGAGTTCCTTTGTGCACATTGTTATCAAGTTTTTTTTTTTAAGTGCTCGGTATGTTTATAGCTTTTTCAGATTGTACTGCGAAAAAACTTTTTGCACAGATGTAACGGAGCGCTGCGTTTGAGTTGCGTGTGGTTTGGAGCCTGAGCTGAGCTGCTGCAGTCTCCACTCCCCGTCCAGAGGTGGTGGAGCTGCGTGTGGGGTGGGGGATTTGATAGGCGGGGCGCTCAGTTCTGTTGACAGGGCGGGGTGCTCTCCTTAGATAATGGTAGGGGAACACTGTAGTAAGTTATGGTTTTAAAGATGTTGAGTCAAGAATTAGGGATTGTATTCTTTAAGTTTTAGAATAGTTTAGATTGCTTTAAAAAGGAAAAAAAAACAACCTCCAAATTATTGCCAGCTGCATTTGTTCCGTGATAATACTGTCTCAGCAGAACTTGCCAGGCCATCTTTTTACAATTTTGCACTATTTTCTGAAGGCTCGATGAAATATGTTTGACCTTTCAAAATATCAAAAGATTACAGTACCACTGCACTCTTCTCCAACTGGTCTTTCTAGCTATGTATTTAGTTATTTTTGTTTTTTGTTTTTTTTCCATTTTAGAGGACATGCTATAAATACATGCTCATCTTTTTCTTTCAATTTATTTAAACACAGCTTTATGCACTTAAAACCTTTAGTTTGCTAGGTGTTGCTTGAGTGTTGAAGTAAAATGCACATTAGGACATGATATTGACAAATACCTTCTAAACTTTTTTCTGTCAAGGACAAGAAGTCCTGTGGCACATTCAAATTCATTAACCATTAAAACATGTTATAACACTGCAAGAAAGCATGCAGATGTTTTCTTGATGAGATCCCACACTAGAACAACCAAATGTGTAGAAAAACAGATATTTAATTAAATATACAAATATGTTCAGTTAGTCAGGTCGAGACTCTCGGTCGACTCCGAGGAGATTCTGGCAAACCATCAAGCAGCTGAGGAGGGGAAAGCAGCACTTTACTAACACTGTGTTCAGTGAAGGTGGGGTGCTGTTGACCTCAACCAGTGATGTCGTCGGGAGGTGGAAGGAGTACTTTTCGGACCTTCTCAATCCCACCAGCACGTCTTCCATGGAGGAAGCGGAGTCGGGGAACTTTGGGGTTGATCCGTCCATAACTGTGGCTGAGGTCGCCGAGGTAGTTAAAAAGCTCTGAGGTGGCAGGGCTCCAGGAGTGGATGAGATTCACTCTGATTTCCTTAAGGCTCTGGATGTTGTGGGGCTGTCTTGGCTGACACGCCTTTGCAACGTTGCATGGACATCAGGGGCAGTGCCACTGGATTGGCAGACTGGGGTGGTGGTTTCCCTCTTCAAAAAGGGGGACCTGAGAGTGTGCTCCAATTATAGGGGCATCACTCTCCTTAGCCTCCCTGGTAAGGTCTATTCAGGGGTACTGGAGAAGTGAGTTCGATCGTTGGTCGAACCTCAGATTCAAGAGGAACAATGCGAGTTCCGTCCTGGCCGTGGAACACTGGATCAGATATTTACCCTCACTAGGGCCCTTGAGGGGTCATGGGAGTTTGTCCATACAGTCTACGTGTGTTTGGTGGACTTGGAGAAGGCATTTGACTGTGTCTCTCGGGATACACTTTGTGGTGTGCTCCGTGATTATGGGAATGGAGGCCCGTTGTTACGGGCTTTTCAGTCCTTATCTAAGGGGTGCGAGAGTTTGGTTCGCATTGCCGGTAGTAAGTCGGAAACCTTCAGGGTGGAAGGTGGACTCCGCCAGCGTTGCCCATTGACACCGATTCTGTTCATAACCTTTATGGGCAGAATTTCTCAGTGCAGCCAGCTGATGGAGGGTTTTTCTGTTCGGTGGCCTCAGGATTCCATCTCTGCTCTTTGCAGATGATGTGGTCCTGTTTGCGTCATCGTGCCACGATCTTCAGCTCTCACTGGAGCGATTTGCAGCAGAGTGTGAAGCGGCTGGGATGAGAATCAGCGCCTCCAAATCTGAGGCCATCTGAGGCCCTCAACCAGAAAAAAGGGTGGATTGCTGTCTCTAGGTCGAGGCTGAGGTTCTTCCTCAATTGGAGGAGTTCCAAGTATCTTGAGGGTTTTGTTCACGAGTGAGGGAAGAATGGATTGTGAGATTGACAGACAGATTGGTGCAGCATCTGCAGTATTGCGGACTTTGTACCAGTTCGTTGTGGTGAAGAGGGAGCTGAGTTCTAAGGCAAAGCTCTCTGTTTACTGGTCGGTCTATGTTCCTACCCTCACCTATGGTCATGAAAAGGGGTAGTGACCGAAAGAATGAGATCGCGGATACAGGCGGTTGAAAAGAGTTTTCTCTGCAGGGTATCTGGACTCTGCCTTAGAGAAAGGGTGATAAGTTCCGTTATCTGGGAGAGACTCGGAGTAGAACCGCTACTTCTCCACGTCGAGAGGAGCCAGTTGAGGTGGTTCGGGCACCTGTTTGCATTGGCCTGGGAATGCCTTGGAATCCTCTCAGAAGAGCTGAAAGAGGTGGCTGTGAAAAGAGATTTCTGGGCCTCCCTGCTCAAGCTGCTGCCCCCATGACCTGACTTTGGAATAAATGGAAGATAATGGATGGATGGATGTATGTTCAGTTTCAGTTTTACATTGGACTCAAAAGAGTAGTAAATATTACCAATGTCAGTGTGAGAAGTTGTAATTTTCTTTTCTAGGAAGTCTTTTTTTTTTTTTAAACGTATGTATTACTAGATATTATTCCAAGGTAATGCTACTATGTGGCAGTTTTTTAAAATCAGAATTATGTATTTCAGGCTATTACTTACTTTGGTGAAACACTTCAGAAATGCAGTACACCATGCTGATGTTCTTTTGTTTCTCCCATTTTATTTAGATAAGCCATCATGATTCCCATCACAGAGCTCCGGTACTTTGCTGACACCCAGCCAGCGTATCGAATCCTGAAACCATGGTGGGACGTTTTTACTGACTACCTCTCAATCATCATGCTGATGATCGCAGTGTTCGGTGGGACGCTGCAGGTCACGCAGGACAAGATGATCTGCTTGCCTTACAAATGGCATGACTTCAACATGTCATGCGAGGTGATCCAGCCTGTCTTTAACGTGGTCCCCACGTATCCACATGAACCCAAAGGCATTCAGTACAACCTTGACCGTCACCAGTATAACTACGTAGATGCTGTCTGTTACGAAAACAAACTCCACTGGTTTGCTAAATATTTCCCCTATCTGGTGCTAATCCACACCCTCATCTTCCTGGCCTGCAGCAACTTCTGGTTCAAGTTCCCACATACGAGCTCAAAACTGGAGCACTTTGTCTCCATCCTTCTCAAGTGCTTTGATTCACCATGGACAACGAGAGCTTTGTCTGAGACTGTGGTGGAGGAGAGAGACTCTAAACCAGTGGGGAAATCGAATGGTTCAATGGACAAGAAGACCTCCAGTGTGAGCGAGGATGTAGAGGCTAGTATTCCCATGCTCCAGCGAACAAAGTCCAGAATAGAACAGGGAATTGTGGACCGCTCTGAAACCGGGGTTTTAGATAAAAAGGAAGGGGAGCAGGCCAAAGCACTTTTTGAGAAAGTGAAGAAGTTTAGAATCCACGTTGAAGAAGGTGATATAGTATACCGCCTTTACATACGCCAAACTATTATTAAAGTTATCAAGTTTATACTGATTATTAGCTACACAGCTTACTATGTAAGATACATCAAGTTCTGTGTAGCGTGCCCAGTGAATATTGAGAAACTAACAGGGTACAGTATGTTTTATTGTGCTCACCCATTAGCGACTCTGTTCAAGATTCTGGCCTGTTTTTACATCAGCCTGGTTGTGGTTTATGGTCTCATCTGCATGTACACCCTTTGTTGGATGCTCAGCCGCTCCCTCAAACGATACTCCTTCGAATCAATCCGAGAGGAAAGCAGTTACAGCGACATTCCCGACGTCAAGAATGACTTTGCCTTCATGCTGCACTTGATAGATCAGTATGACCCTCTCTACTCCAAGCGCTTTGCAGTATTTCTGTCCGAGGTCAGCGAGAACAAGCTGAGGCAGCTGAACCTCAACAACGAGTGGACCCTGGAGAAGCTCAGACAGCGCATCACCAAGAACTCCCAGGAGAAACTGGAGCTGCACCTTTTCATGCTCATTGGAATCCCAGATACAGTATTTGATCTGGTTGAGCTAGAGGTGCTCAAGCTGGAGCTTATCCCAGACGTCACTATTCCCCCCATCATTGCTCAGCTTTCCAACCTGAAGGAGATGTGGCTCTACCACACACCAGCTAAGATTGAGGCTCCAGCTCTGGCTTTCCTGAGAGAAAACCTCAAGTCACTCCACATTAAGTTCACTGATATCAAGGAGATCCCTCTATGGATCTACAGCCTGAAGAACCTCAGTGAGTTGCACCTAACTGGGAACCTGAGTGCTGAGAACAATCGTTACATTGTCATTGATGGGCTCGGAGAGCTCAAAAGTCTCAAAGTGCTGCGTCTGAAAAGCAACCTAACCAAGCTGCCACAGGTGGTGACTGACGTGGGCGTGCACCTTCAGAAGCTTTCCATCAATAACGAGGGCACCAAGCTGATGGTCCTGAACAGCCTTAAGAAGATGGTGAACCTGACAGAGCTCGAGCTCGTTCGCTGCGACCTCGAGCGCATTCCACACTCCATCTTCAGTTTGCACAACCTGCAGGAGATCGACCTGAAGGACAACAATATGAAAACGATCGAGGAGATCATCAGCTTCCAGCACCTGCACCGCCTCGTGTGCCTGAAGCTCTGGTACAACCAGATTGCCTATATTCCCATTCAGATTGGAACACTGACCAACCTGGAGAGGCTTTACCTGAACAGAAACAAGATCGAGAAGATCCCCAGCCAGCTCTTCTTCTGCCGCAAGTTACGCTTCTTAGATCTGAGTCACAACAACCTGACAAGCATCCACCCTGATGTGGGCTTCCTCCAAAACCTGCAGTACTTTGCTGTGACAGCAAACAGGGTAAGTGGCATGCTTGATTTAATTACATGAATGTTTCAAAGTTCATGCTCAATAATCCTGGTAAAAAATCCAACAATGTTCAATCAGGTAATGTGAACGGTTCCTTTTTTTTTTTTCTGAGATATTTCATCCTTCATCCAAAGGAATTCTTTAATCTGAGGAGCCACCAACAAACTGATTCCCACAAACGTCATACTCCAAAGTGGGAAAAAAGCAGTTTGCTAGTGCTAAGATGACTTCCATCAACATGAACGTTGCTATTTTTTTCATCAGTTCTAAATAAATTATTCAAAGTAATCATTTGATAGATTTAAGGTTTTATACGTTTAATTTATCTATTTTTTTGTGTGTATTACAATGTTATTTTGAAGTAAAACAACCTGAATCCCAAATTTATTAAGGCCATTGTTAAAACACGTCTTTAAGGTCATGGGCCCGTTACTTCATATGGTCTTTGTTGAAAGGGATTTCTTGAATAAAAACACCCAGAACCTTTTTGAAAATGCTCCTTTGAGTCTGAAAGCATCCAAACAACCTCATGTGTTTTTAGTAAAAGCTACTATTACTGCTGTTTTACTGTGCGGCTGCTCGCTGAAAATAGCTTCCAGCAGGTTTGTGAGCTGCCACAAATATCTCGACTGTTTTGTGCTTTTAGGTGCACTATCAGTTTCAATGAGCTGTAAGTCTGAGATAATTGTTAATATGTTTTTGAATTTATTAAGGTCTGATGTCTGTCAATGTACGAGACACTGTTTTTGTGTCCAGACACGTTCTTATTTGTCAGCCTTGTTTACTGATGCGCTCCTCGTTGTTCTGCTTTTTGTGTCGCTCCCTTTCAGATTGAGACTTTGCCCCCGGAGCTGTTCCAGTGCAAGAAACTGCACACTCTGAATCTGGGGAACAACTGCTTGCAGACGCTGCCATCGCGCTTCGGGGAACTCACCGGGCTGACCCAGCTGGAGCTGAGAGGGAACCATCTGGAGTGCCTCCCGGTGGAGCTGGGTGAATGCAGTCGGTTGAAGAGGAGCGGCCTGGTGGTGGAGGAAGACCTGTTCAACACGTTGCCTACAGAAGTCAAAGAGCAGCTCTGGAGGGCCGATAAGGAGCAAGCTTGAGCCAGATGGAGCTCAAGAGACGCAGCAGTGTTGACGACACGGGAGGAGAAACGTGAAGACTTGTCATCCATTTGATAACTTGGAAGGACCAATAAAAATAAGGACATGAAAAACCATCTGATATATTCTGTTGGTTATTTGTTTCGTACATACTATAAAGTTTCAAAGATGCTGGAAGTTGAAGTTGAACATGCATGCCACTAGGACCCTAAAGCAAGCGTCCCCATTTGACTGAGACAACCTTCCACGACTCGTCCTCTCCGGTGAGTTATTATTTTACTGAGCACAGCACATTCTCAACGTGCTCGGCGCAGCCTTTGCCTGCTCCTCATGCCTTGAGGCCTGTAGAGAAGTTTGCTGTTTGCAGTAGCTCTGCAGTGTGGCTAACTCCACTGACACCATGATGCAACTCAAGTGTGTTCAGGCATGAATCATTGGCTGTATTCTTGTCTTCAGGCTTTATGCTCGACCTGCTTGGAAGTATCTCTTCATCTGCACAGACTGATAATTCACCGATCATCTCGCAGCTTAGACCTGAACAGGCTGTGGAAATCAAAGGGAACTAAGTTTGTTGTGTAAGGCCCAAATGCCCTGCGGTTAAATCCAACACCGGGAGCTGTGATTAAGAAATTCAAAATCCTGTATCGGCGTTATTTTGCCCCTCCAGACAACGTGTTTACTTCAGCATGCGCAACAAAACAATCTTATTTTACAGAGCTTAAGGTGTGTCGTTACAAATGTGTCTAAATCGGCTGTGTAAGAATGTATTTTGATTTTCTTTGAGAGACTGACAGAGGTTTGCAGCATGTTTGGACTTGAGAGGCATATTTTCAGCATGTAACAAACCACCAACTTTATTTTGACTCCAGGTTACAAATCTGTAGCCTAATATCTTAAGTGACCATTTTTTTATTTTATGCTTTATGTATTTTGTTTAATTATGCACTGCTTAAATGGGAAAATGTATTTTTTAAAATCCACAGAACATTGAAGAAAATCACAATGTTTTTTTTTTTCCCCTAATAAACGTATACAGTTGAAACCAGATATTTACATGCACTCTATAAAATGACCAACATTAAGGATGACGAAGCCTTTCCTGTTTAGCTCAGATAGAATTCCCAAAGTTATTTTTATTTGTTAAATGATTAATGAGACACATTTTATTGCTCTTTTCAAAGTCACAAGTTTACATACAGTTTTTTTTGCATTTGATAGTATTACCTTTAAACCAGGGATATTCAACTGGCTCACTATTCAATCCGGCCCACTTCATTAATTATTTTTTTTTTTTTTGGGGGGGGGGGGGATTCTGTTTATTGCATTTATGGTTCAATCCAATAAATAAAGTTAAAAAGGGTAACGTCATGGTAAACTTTGGTTTATTTACATAATGACTTTAATCGCTGGATGTCCAGCCCCCGAGTTAATGACTTTCAGAAACTGTGGCCCCCTGAGCAGTTTTGTTGAATAGCCCAGCTTTAAACTTTATGGCATTCATCAAACTTTTCAAGCTTCTCACCATAGTTTGCTGGAATTTAGTTCCATTCCTCCACTCAGGTTCCTGAGTCAGGTTGCAAGTTGTCCACGTCGATCCAGGACTGGTCTCGTTGTGGCTCTTACCAGCTTCTGCTGCTTCTGCACAAGTTTTTTTTTTTTAATTGTCTTTAGAGATTGATGTGCACGTTTCACACCAAAACATGTTCATCTCAGGAACAGAGAGTCCATCTCCTGGGTTAGGATGGTAGGACTTGTGTATGATTGAACAGATGAATGTGGCACCTGATTTTCCCATGACGCCACACGAAGCAGCAGTGGGTTTAAGGTGTGCACTGGTGTGCCTCCAGTTAGCTCCGATGTTGTCAACTAACCAATCAAATGCTTCCGAAAATCATAACGTCATCATTTGGGCTTTCCCAAATTGTTAAACTTCACAGTAAAAGTCTGATTTAATGTCCAACAGTGAAACAATTAGTTTTATACAGTGTACGTACACATCTGGTTTCAGCTGTTTGTATATTCATATTTGAATAAAGCAAATTATTCAGAACATAGCTCAATACTAAAACTGAATTATGGCACTTTTTATTATTTTTTTGCATCTTGACATCTTTGAACTTTGTGAACCTTCATGGTACTTCATCAGAAGTTGTGACTCAAGTGCTGCTTGTATGCGAACTGCGCAGTTTAGTCATCGTGCTCGCTTTCCTCCGTGACAAAGCAGACGTTTGTCACTAATGTGCTTTTTAATTCGTGAGGTGCACGAGGACAAACAGGAAATTGTGGAGTGGAGGGGAACTGGTTCTGACCAGCCTCCACTAGAGAAGTGTTTCTTTGTGGAGCACGTTGCGTCCACCGTTCGTGCTGCAAATCAGTGCAACATGCTACGTCTGCTTAAAACGCTTTTTTGTAAAGACCTGAGATTTATTGGCGTCGTTTAGAGCAAATGTGTGTTTACTCCTGCCAGACATTTCTCTCTGCTAATATGGCCCCAGCTTTTACAAGCTATACCCTCTTAATGATCACAAACATCATCAGGGCTTTTTTTTTTTTTTTTCCTTGAGCTGTAAAACGTATAGCTGAAATGTTTAATGTGAATCATGTGTTTTTAGTCTTACAGTTTCAGTGCAGAGCCTTTTAAAAGCTGCGCTGTGTAACAATTAGCAACATCTGGAGGTTTGTTTCTTACTGAATCCAGTCTCTTTGCAGTCTTTTATTCACTTTGTGCAACAAGTTTCCATCATTTCAGCAAAGTAGTCATATTATTATTTTTTTAAATGTAATTATATTGGATTTGTTTTGCCTTACTTTGAATTGTGACATGCATGAGGAAGAAAAACATCACAGATAAGTCAAACTTTATTCAACTCGTTCACAATAACCACATAAAATCGGTTGGAGGTCGGTAAGCACAATCAGAATTAATACATAAGGTGCACCGTTGATTTTTGAGAAAATGAACTGATTTTAAGTGCGCCCTAAAATACGGTAATTAGGATTTTGTAGGCAAATGTAAAGTAAGCAGAAAAGTTGATGAGTAATCTTTAGCAACACCCCATGATCCATTTAAACCTGTGACTTTTGTCGATATATTAATTTTACACATTGTTCCTTTAAAAGATTTCTTGGAAATTTCACTGTAAAGCCTCCGCTGGGTGTTTTGTTTCACTGAGGCCTTGGCTAAATGCAGATCACCGCCCAGGGCTCGCATGTAGAGCTCTCACAAACACTCAGAGGGCAGAACCAGAGCTTCAGTGTTGGATTTGTTAACTAGCAAGCAGTTTTAAAGTTGGGGTCAAAGGTCGGAGCATAAACGAATGACAACAGCATTTTCCCTGCAGGTGCAAAAACTAAATGCGTTTTATCTTTTTTGTTCTTGTTTGATTTTTTTTTTATGCAAACCAAACAAAATATACACCAGGACGTGGCTGTTCTGTTGGCTGCCACACTGTCAAGTGCAGAGACGTAGCGATGCAGGCTGTACTGTGCACGGCCAAAGGAGATGTTTTCTGTCACTCCAAAGTAATTTGATATTCTAACATTGATCACTGTGGTGCAGTGCAGATCCCTGCTGTACCGCAGTGTCAGATTTACTTGTTAAACTCTTGTTTTCTCTCATCGCACGAGTTTGAAATGTCTCATTTTCTCGTTTTGTTTTAAGAAAATACGACTGAGTCTGAGTTCATTTTAAACCCTCGTTGAGCATTTAGAGTCAAAACTGCTCTTAAATATTGAGAGTGTTACAGAAAATGTTTTCAGGGCGTTTTAGTAACTGATGAAATAACCGAATGAGCAAGATTTGCCAAAAATGTCTGCTTGACGTACGTATTTGCCATCGTCCATGTAAGATCTGTTATCTGGTCTAGTTTTGTTTTGCCTTCTGGCTGAACATCTTTTGTTTTTTCTCCCATTTTGCCTTTTTTATGACGCACAAAGCTACAAGTCAGCTCTGAGTCATCTTCCTTTGAGTCAGTTCACTTCCTGTCAATGTGGATTTTTATCTTTCTGAAAAGCAAAATTAGCAAATAGTGATTTGCTGCTTGGCTTTGAGAAAACACGAGCACTTGTATTTAATTCGTCACATCAGCAGCTGACATTTGTTTAAATTTAAACCCAGAAGCTTTATTGGTGTGCAAATGGGCCGCAGTATAATCGGATTATAACGTCTGGCCTTATTATTTTTTGAAATACAAAAGAAAAAATGAAATTCTGACTGTGTGTTGCGTATGCTTTTAACTGGTTTTGTGTGAAACGGCATGAAGATTCAGTTGCTCTGGGACAGAGCGCTCAGGTTTGGGTCGTTATCGGACCGGATGGTTTTCTTGGAGGGAAATGACGCCACAATCTGACTAACTGGAAGTGAGCTCACCCTTCCATGCGGGCATTGTGCGTAACCGTGCACGTTCATTGACGTCTGACTATATGTCTGTACTTTTAATGAAGGTTTTAATTATCCAAAATCTCAGTATTCTTAAAAGAATTGTTGAGCATAACTCGTTGCTAAGTTGTCATGATTTCATTTAATTTCAGGTTTTATATATATATATATATATATATGAACCTTTTCTTTAAATAAACGATTGTATTTTCAGTGTGTGATAACTTAATCTATGTATTTTGATGCCTGTAGATCAGGGAGTCCTCAAAAGGATTTTTTTCTCATTTTTTTATGTCTTATTTACTTTTTAAAAGCATGAGTTTGTTGATGTTGAACTGGTGTGCAGAGCAGCCATAATGGAACGTATCCCCAATGGACAAGGCCTTAAATAAAAGACTTTTTTTGCCAATTAAATAGACGCTGGCTCTGTAATATTGGAGCGTTTGTTTCCAAATGTTCAGATCCTACTTTTTGTACCATTCTGACATATAATAATAAAATTGCCACTTAACACCACATCTTTGCTGCAGTGAGTTGATTTGTCGTCTTGTGTAGTTCCTCTTTTAAAAAGAAACCCTGAAAGCTGCTGAGGAATGATTCTTATACACTTGAAGAGGAAGTGGCTGAGATTTCTGCTTCTCCTGGCTCAACTGTATTCATTATTCATGCATTGTGTTTATTTGCGCCACGGAGTCGGGAAAGTGGCTCAGTTGCACTTAACCCTGCTGGTAATTGTAGTTTTGTGAAAATGTTTTTGGGTTTTATTTGTCAGGATTAAATACATTTCACATGAAGTTCTGGAAGCCTCATCTTTAGGAACAGCTGAGCAGCGTAACAAAACGTGCTGTCTTTCTTGAGAGGATGAAAATTATCACCTTTTCTCTTATTTACAAGGCAATTCAGGAAAGTTTCAGCTAAAATTAGCTTATTTACAAAAATTAAATTGGAGCGAAATACATATTTGTTTCTTCTTTGCAGAAATGTGATGCTTTTATGATTAATCTTTTGCTATCTTTTAAATTTTATCCATATTTTTGCTACTTTTATTGGCTATTTTTTGCCACATTTAGCTTTTCAGTAATGTTTCTTTTAGCTAGTTTTTGGCTTTAGCTTTAACAACTCAATTTTAGCTTCTTGAGCAAATAAGTAATTCAGTCCTCAATGTTCATACTGTATTTGCATTAATTAAACAGATTATTCCATTGTTTTCTTTTATTAGAGATAAATATACAAAAGGAACATATCAAGGAGTTTTATTTCTAGATTAAATAAAACAGGTGGTGTCCTGACTTCACTGGTAGGATTTGGTCTTTCCAGTGAAAGTTCATGTGCGGTGGATAAATACTGAACAATGGTGCCGAAACTTGAATTCAAGCTCTCCTGGGCAGTACTGACTTGGTACATGCAGTTGGAAAATGTATAAAAAGCAAACTTATTGTTACAGCTATGAAATAATATTTAAACTTTAAAATAAAGTTTTATTTACAATAAAAATTAAAAACGTCTGAAATGGGAGCAAAAAATGTTTTTGGCTGTACTTGATCAAGTTGGCCACACGAGGGCGCTGTTTCCAGTTCTCCATATAAAGCAGGTTAATGACAAAAACATCTCCATATCGCACATGTAACGACAGTGACACCTAGCGGCCAGTTTGTGCCACTACATCAGCCTGACGCTCGGACTGGAGCTACGTGTTGCCGTGAAAGAGTTAACAACTTCAAATCCGATTAGTACAGCGCGGCCGTACTTATTGTACTGATTTTGATATGTCACGTGGTCGGACTAAAGGTTACCCGGATGAGACATCCCCACATCGTATCTTCTCAGAGCAGGATCTCCTCCAAGTGGCCTGTCATGGATTTTATGACAGATCGGGATGTGCAGAAGGTGAGGAAACTACAGATACCTTGATTATGCAATTACAGATGATGTAATGAAATAAGATGTATTGGTTTATGTGAAAAGCTGCTGCGCACATGTTAACCTTATTACATAAACATGTTGCACAAGTGGCTCAGAGACCAAACTGTTTTCTTTAACTTTCAGAAAATTGACCTTTAGAGGGATTTTCCCATCATTTTTGCCTTAAAGAGCATCTATATACAACATTCAGCTGAATGTCTCAAAAGATTTCAGTGACCCTAAATAGTTAAATGGTTACATAACTCACTGTGTCCAAGATACAACCTTATTTGTTTTACTCTAATTTGTTCTGCAGTTTGCTTTTTTTATATACTAGAAATAACTATAAATATAATACAAATTATAGAGTTCAGGCTCATTTAGACAAAATTGTTTTTGGAATCTCTGTGCTCCAATAAAAGTTTTAAATATATATATATATATATATATATATATATGTGCTGTGGTTGTTTATTTCCCATGAAATTATGGGAATTATGGGTCTGTTTTTGGGATTCTGATAATTTGGATCAGCACAGAAAAAACAGTCTGTTAACCGGATCCAGCTCGTGAAGCTCCCAGATGACTCCTAAAGAGCCATTTTACCACTTTTTCATCATCTCTACCTTCTTTTTTTAGTTAAGGGAGGACGGGTATGTGGTTCTGGATGGGCTGCTGACCTCCCAGGAGTGTGATGAGCTGAGGCAGAGGATGATGGAGATCGTGGACAGGATGGACGTCCCTGAGCACTGTCGCACCCATTTCTCCACCAACCATGATGAGCAGCTCAAAGAACAGGTGACTGAATGAACAGAACAGCACAAGATGGGTTAATAACAGCTTCAACAGGTGATTTAATCCCATTATTTTTATGTTTTTATCCCATTGCGGCTCAAAGATGCAGGTATGGTTGCTGTAAGTGAGTCTATATCATTATTTATTTTGACCCGAGTGTCAGACTTAGTTGAACTCTTGTGTCAACAGTAGAGTTGGTCTTTCCGCTCTGCAGAACCATGTCCAGGATCAGCTGATTGGCGTTAATGTTGTGTCTTGCAGGGGAATGCTGATTATTTCATCACAAGTGGAGATAAGGTCCGCTTTTTCTTCGAGAAGGATGCTTTTGACGACAAAGGTGAGCTCTTGTGAAATTCTCTGTAGCCTGTCAATTATTTCATTTGACTGAAAACGAGCCCGTCTGGACTTGCAGGAGAATTTCTTGTACCAAAGCAGCGGTCGCTCAATAAAGTCGGACATGGTGAGACATCCTGATTGTTCTTTTTTTATTTTTTAATTACTCCTACAAAGAGCATTCCTGTGACCACTTCTTCTGCTTTTAGCCCTGCATGAACTCGAGCCGTTTTATAAGAAGGTTACACATTCAGCCAAAGTCCAGGTGAGTTCTGCACGAATCAGATGTGACGGGTAAAGTCACACAACAATGAACACCTAAATGTTTTTTTTGCAGGGCATAGCCAGGAAGCTGGGCCTGGTTAATCCTCTCATACTGCAAAGCATGTACATCTTTAAGGTAAAGCCTTTATTTAAATCCAAATATATGTGTAGGGTTAATAATGCCTGAGTACATTATAATAAGAAGTTATGCTACTTTTTTTTAGCAACCAGGAATTGGAGGAGAAGGTAAAAAAAACACTAATTTATCTGATTTATTTTGTTGTGTGCAGTTTTCCCATAATCATGATCATTATTAACTAATGAGAAAACTCTTTTGCACTTTGTTGTCTTTTAGGACTAATGTACATTTGGTGTAAAAACACAGAACGGGCTGAATTAATTAACTGATTTTACCTAATCAGGATGTTATATTCTGTATGGCAACTTAATACAGATATATTCTAATAAGAGTCAGGGGAGAATCCAGTTAAAGGCCTAAACCGTATAGTTTTTTCTTAAAATCATATAAAATAAAAAGTCTACCTCTTTATATTTTACACATTTTTGTTTATTCACCTGAAAGTACTAAAACTGATTTGCTCCGTGCTGACCTGATGAGCTGTATGTTTATAGCATGTAGTAAAGTTGTGCGTGCTCCGTAGTGACGCCACACCAGGACGCCACCTTTCTGTACACCGAGCCTCTGGGCAGAGTTCTGGGATTCTGGATCGCCCTGGAGGACGCCACCGTTAACAACGGCTGCCTGTGGTTCATCCCGGGCTCACACAACAGTGAGCGTCCAACTGCACCGTCTGTTTTTAGGCATGCTGCAAGAAAACTGTGCACATTTTTGTCTTCTCTTCCGAGGTGGGATCTCCCGCCGTATGGTGCGCACCCCACAGGGAACCTATCCGCTGACGGAATTTATCGGAAAAGAGCGCCCACACGATGAAGGGAAATTTGTAGCTGCGCCAGTTAAAAAAGGTAAAGTTTTACATTTAAGCAATGGTGGACAAAGTACTCAGTTCTAGTACTTAAGTAAAAGTAGTGTTGTAGTCAAGACCAGAGTGTACCGAGACTTTTAGGGTCCGAGACCAAGACCTCAAATAAAATAAATAAAATTTTATTATAAAATAGTTTTTATAAAAGTTACATACTGCAACTTTAAATTGACTTTTGAATGAATATAACAGCATTTTCAACGCTACAAAACAAAGACATTCAGTGGCCTAACTTCATGTGATTCAACAATAAAACGACACAACTGTTAAATTGGAAACAGTTTCATCACATGCCAAGTTTTAAAAAACTGAAGGGGCAAAACACCCTGAACTCAAGACCAAGGATAACCATGTAGTTGCACCATGGTTTCAGTAAAGTGGTACACCTAAAATGTTACATAAATGGATATTTGTTACAAGTATATTATTTGTGCTTTAAATAGCTGAATTTTATAACTGATGATGCGGCAGACATCGTCTCCTGCGCCCATACAATCACTTTCTTGGAGTGACCAGTGTTGCCAGATAGTCGAAGTTTTCCAGCCCAAAAATTTGTTAAAAACCGCCACATCACACAAAAATCCACCCAATCAATATTGTTACAGTATATTTACTGTTTGAACATGAACGCACATCAGTACAAGCCAAGATAATTTAACAACATGTGGCAAAACGCAACAATCCAACAAAAATCTTCCCAGAGTTCCCAGCAAAACCAGAATGAAAACCACCCAATTGGCAGTAAACTGCCCAATCTGGCAACACGGGGAGTGACGCGAGTGAAAGGGGGTGGGCGTGACAAAAAAAAAGTATTCAGCAATGAGTCACGTTATCGCTTGGATTTGAACCAGTACGTTTTGCATCCAATAAAAACAAAGATGTTGACAAATAAACTGGACAATATTCTGGCAGTTTAGGGGTATTTCCACAGTTGTGGTCTTGACTGGTCTTGAAATAAAATCCCGAGTCCTCCATGTCTGAGACCAAGACAAGACCGAGACCAAATCAAAACGTGGTCTTGAGACTCTCGAGTACTACAACACTAAGTAAAAGTATTGACACTCATGGTCTATTGTTACTCAACTACAAGTAAAAGTTGCTCAGTCAAACGTTTACTCAAGTTCAAGTGCTGAAGTACTTACTTTTGAAAATACTCAAGTATTCAAAAGCACATGCATTTAAAAATGCTCAAGTATTTAAAAGTACAAATTACATTTTCTAATATCACTACATTGCTGTTTTGTTTTGAGTGGTTTTACAGAACCTTAACCCTCTGAAGCCACCTGATGATGTAATGACATGTACAACCACTAACACCACATGCCTCAATAAAACCACTAACTTCCAATAGTATATTCCTGCATTTTACATGTTTGTGGGAAGTCATGGGAATCCTAACAGATGATGCACATTTAGTCTTTTCCTCAGCTTCAGTGTTCATACCTCACACTGTTTGTGTGTAAAAGTGCATGTATTGACAGCAACAAGTTAACACAGTAGTGGAAACAGTGATAACAGAAAGTTCTGCCATACTCAACATAGAAGCTGACAAAACAATGGATGTTCTGCACAGATGAATCTAGTACAATACCTGAATCAACATCTGGACACCTGCATTTAAGGACAGAAAAACAGCAAGTGTAGATTACAAAGCTGAGCCAAAGGGAACAAGCAGCTTCCTAGAAATGTAGTGGAGTGAAAGTCATAAGTTCCCCCCCAAAAAACACAAATACTCAAGTAAATATACTTTGTAAATGTACTCAAGTAAATGTACTTCGTTACTGTCCACTACTGCATTTAAGAAGGCAAATGAATTAGAAATGTATCACCTTATGAGGTGTATATTTATAGATTCTCAATGTAGTTGGTAAAAATAGAATTTTATGCTAAATTCTAAGTAAAGTTTTATTATTCAATTTAATTCATTTTATTTATATAGTGCCAAGTCACAACAGAAGTCGTCTCAGGACACTGAACAGAACTATTCATATATAAAATAAGTTAACAGAAACACATTTAAAAATAATAATTTGACATTATCTATTTAAAAAAACAAACAGGTGCTGTGGTCCTGATCCACGGGGAGGTGGTGCATCGAAGCGCTGAGAACACCTCGGAGGATTCCCGCCACGTCTACGCCTTCCACCTCATGGAGGCCCTGGACACCCGCTGGAGCCCGGACAACTGGTGAGAGCGCGTGACGTTTTATTTTGTTACTCATCAAGTCTCCAGTTCTTTAAGGCGCCGCCATCTCAGAGTGTTCTTTAAAAGTTTAGAGAAAACCGAACAACTATGGGACTTTTAATAAACATCGTTATCGTCTGTCATCACAACTGCGTCTAAAGTGTAGGTTAATGGTTCCGCATACCATTTCATTATATGTATAAATGTTAGCCAGATGATTATAGATTTCAAATCTTAAGTTTGTGTATTTATGACTAATTTTTCCCCATCAGTCATATTTTATCCCTTTCTTGCCCCTGAAGGTTGCAGCCGACGGAGGAGCTCCCATTCTCACCTCTTTACACCAAATGAAGGATGTCTGTAGCCCGTTGTGCTGCAGGACAAAGAGGGACCAAAATACATGAACAGTTTTATACAAGACACAATATTTACAGCTTCTATATAGAGAGAAAACATTTTTATATGATTCAGTTTCTCTGGCCTACATGGAAATCATCACAGCCTCTCAGGCTGGTGTTAATGAGTTTTCCCCTCAGCTGTCAGGCATAAAATATTATTAATGAAAAAACAAATGAAAACAATGTGGTTTGGTTAAATTAACAGATATGAACTCAGTCGGGGGTTCATGGCTTTGCTGCAAACCTAAAGGAAAATTCTTGTTGCTCAAGTTTTCATAAAATGATAATTACAAGACAAATAATGGTTTTTTTTTACAACAAACGGGACAAACAAGTTTGAGTTTGGTCCAGTTTACAGTCTGTATGGACATATTATTATAGAGCAACAGTACGAATTAAAATGTTTTTTTTTTTTAATAAAACAAATCTACAGATGAGCTAATGTTTTTATCTGTGCGAGTCAAAATTACAGAATGTGTGGTACATTAAAGCTTATTGTGAACTGATGGTTTTTGGTCTAATTTTTACTCTTTTTTTTATGTGACTCAGCTTAAATAAATTCTGGACCTCGTTAGAAAAGATCACAACCTTCCTGCACGTGAAACCATTTTCTGTACAGTAAATTTGATCGCACCGACTCCCCAATAAGCTCATTTTATTGAACCTAAATGACATGTACTGTACAAAATTAGTGTAGAATTATAAATACAATCAAATTAATTATTATGAAAGGACTGCAGTGTTATCTCGGCTAAAAGAGATAATCAGTGCCCTGAAATGACTTGTTGTGTTGGCACTATAGAAATAAACTGTAATTAATTATAAAAATGCCCAATTTCTGTAGAAATTGATCCATTCATAAACCTTTTTATAGACACATTTAAAACGGTGGCTTCTTATGAGGATGTGGCGATCAGTTCGTTGTATTCAGTGCACAGTTTTGACTCTGATAATATAAATTTAGTTCTTCAGATTAAATTTTAAAAAAGTATTGAGTGTTTGTTTTTTCCTCTACATGGGACCTTGTTGTTGAGAACCCTCGGACTAATTTGTTCAAATTCCCATGGACTGTTCGCAACTAAATACTGTCACCAGCCAGCACTAATGCTCGTTTTATCTCTTTAATTTGTGTCCCGACATCAAATTACAGTTGATTTTACAGGTGATTGTAGCATTAGTTTTCAAGTATGTTCATTCTAAATACAAATCAAATGTCAAACAAGTAAACATCATTTCTGAATAACTTAAACTCACAAAATTGAAACGCATTCTTCAAATGTTGGAATAAAACAGGAAACAAACGGTTCATGTTTGTGTTTTTCCATCAGGTCCGTCTTACAGCAGGCGTCAGTTTTATCTTCTATGAAATACTTAACATGCAATACTACGTTACTTAATAAAAAAAATGTAAAGCTGGAAAAAAACTTTTCATGCCATCAAACATAACATGGAGAAGACACTTTTACATACACGAAGAAACAAATCAGTGTTAAACACAAAAACAGCATTTTGATCACTTGATCAGATCAAACATGATATACTTGTTGACGGAATTTTACACAAACGCACCACAGACGTGAAGCTTTTTAATTTGGGGACTTTTATCATCATTTGAACCATTTTTGTCCCGAGGGGGCAATTATTATATAAACAGCTTCTAAATCAAACGTACAGGCTCAAATATATACAGTACATTTACTTCAACCTGTTAAGTAGTGGAGGTCAAAAATGTCTCCGTTTGATGAGGCCAAGGCCTTTCAAACTTCTCAGCTGGCATCTTTCTGTGAGCACAAAAAAGGATCAGACCACACTTGGCAATTGTCAAGCACGGTGGTGGTCTGCTAGTGGTACTGGTTTGTGACTGGATAAAACAGACTAACCAATTCTGCCAAGAGTGCTCTCATATGCCAGAAGTTGGCTCAAAGCCTATATTTTACTACAAAAGACTACAAAATATTTTACTAAAAACTAGTGGAAGCGTATACATACATTGACCCTGTATACATTTGATAAATATTCACAGTCACTCAAAAACGTGCCCCTTCTTTTAAAAAAAATAATAATAATAATTGAATGTTGTGTAATAATCCCACTCTGAGAAACATATTAGTTCAAATAAATCAATAAAACTCCCAAATCAATAAAGCATTCATGCCCCTGAAAGGGTGTATGCAAACTTGTGAATGCAGCTGTGCAATTTTAAGTTAGATTTCTTGAGCATTTTAAAAATTGTCAAAAAGATGCCAAAAATAAAGGGCATTTGTTCACAAGTTTGGCCTAAGCCTATCTACAAAATAAAAAATAAACAAACAAAAAAAAAACACAATTTGTAGGCTCTACATCACAAGGAAATGTACGTATTTATTTTAAAGGTTCCGTCAAACCACAAAAACACTTAGCAAAATAAATGTATAGGCCTGTCACGATAAATTTTGCTGGGCGATTGTCTCAGAAATTATTGCGATAAACGATAATATTGTTTGTAATTTGACAATAATTATTAATTATTGTCAAATTTAAGAAGAAATGTTGGTAAATTTTATTTTGGTTGTAGTACCTTTTTTGACCACCGGATGGCAGTATAAGACTGTTTGAACCGAAGGATGGATAGTGAGGGAGCGAGCAGCGTGCATCTAAGAAAAATAGGAGGGAGTCCCCTTGACGTGACATGGGCTGTTTCTTTCCTTTTTTTCCAGTTTTCAAAATGGCGGACGCTCTGTGTGGTTTGAGCTCTTTAGCATAGCATTTTTCACACACAGCTTTTAATAAAATAAAATAAAATAAAAATCAGTAAACAAGAGCTCAGCTTCTTTTTGCAGAGACTAACCTTGTACACGAAGGTACGGGTTTCAACTGTGAATTATGGAGCTTCAACAAGACAGAGGTCCCCCCTCCCCCCGAGGTCGGCTTGTTAGCTTAGCTTGTAGCTTAGCTTCTCAGCTTTGCTGCTTTTAACAATTCAAAAACGCGATTTTGGACGGTTAAAATGGATTTTAAAGGAAGAACACCGGAGTTGAGCCTTTTGTCATCCAGTGTCTTCAGTAGAAAGTGAGAGACATAAAGAAACGATAAAGCCGATAAATGAAAACGAGGTCGATAATTTTCATTTATCATGTGATTAATTGATTTATTGTTTATTGCGACAGGCCTATAAATATATGAAACCAAAATATACTCTAGGATACCTGCATGTTACAGTACTGGATTCACGTTAGCAGCATGCAGGAGCGTAGAGATTCGGCCCTTACAGAGAAGAGCTGAGAGTGACTGCAATGCTTTTTATTTGTCCCCTACGAGTTCTACAGTGATGACAAGAGACGGAAAATACATTTTAAGGCAAATCTTTTCTATATGAAGTCATTTCTGTTGCTCTCAGAGTCGATTGAAAGATAATGTTCTTCATAGGCGATGGGCATTGATTGTTTGCAACAAAAAAAGGCAAGAACAAAACATTTTTTATGCATAATGTACATAAAGGACATTATGCAAGGGCTACAGGTGTCAGTGGTTGAGTACTTCTAGATGAAGCCAGAAAGCTACACCTCCACCAACACTGAGCTCAGAGAATATTGATGAAAAAAAATTCCTCACATTTCTTACAAACGTGCACGAAAGAGTCCTCATTGCAACACTTTTTTTAATTTAACAGATTTTTATGTGAAATCTTCCATCTATGCTGTTGAGTAAAAGTTGCAGATTGACCTTAAATGGTCAAGTTTCAACATATCCCTCTTTGTAATGGCTTCTGCCGAGTCCCGAAGAGCTTCTGGTACTTTTCACATTTTTAAAGAGATTTTCCTCAACTCTACCATTCTAGTAATCCCACGAGACGTCTAGCTGAAATTCAGATACGGGGTTTGTTCATTTAAAGTAGCAGCAGGATAAAGAGGTAGAGAGGGAGCAGGAGGTTGTCTATTTGGGAGGTGTAGGCCTCCAGCAGGGCCACCAGAGTGATGGAGCCAACAATCCATGAGTAGGTGGAGTTCAGATTGATGCTTCCATCAAAGATGAGGAACATTGCCACAGCAATGATCTGGGCAAACACAGATGTTGCAGTCCCTTCCACGGTCTTCTTTGTGCCGGGCCAGTGGATCTCCCCCATGGTGCTGCCGAACACTGATGCCACGGTGTCCCCGACTCCCACAGCCAGTACTCCTGCGTAGGGGACCAGCCCACCGACCCCAGGAAGAATCCCCTTAGGAACACAGGGTGCGGGAAACAGCCAAATAGGCAGAGACATGCCCAGCAGCAGGTAAACGTGAGTGAGGATGAGGGGCCCAGAGTCCCGTTCGTCCAGGAACAAGGTGAGCAGCTGCCTGAGCAGCTGACCGAGGGGCCTGATGCGAAAGTAGCGCACGTACTCCAAGAACAAAAAAACAGCTAAGCAGCCCACGGACGCCACGTGCAGCAGCTGCCTGTCGTATATCATGCCTGGAACAAACGTGGCCACAACAATCAGGTGGAAGTACTTCCTGACTACCGTTGAGGCCTGGTGCTTCTTGGATCCCGACTGGCGCCGATAGTTCTGATGCAACACAACACAAGTGGCCACAACAGCCAGAAACACCCAGTAACCCAGCAAACAGAGTCTCTTGTCGTTTAGCGTGAGGAAGTCCAACAGCCACATGATGGGGTGCCGGCCGATGAACAAGGACAGCCACGGCATCAGGATCCCCAGAACCAGAACCGCCGTCATCATGTGGAAGAAAAGGGACGACACCCAAGTCTCAGACTCCATGAAGCAGAAGAGCAGAGCAAAGAAAACCCCCAGCAACAGCGAGCCCACCACCACAACTGGCAGGAAATAGTTCACTGGATCCCCTTTGACCTCCGACAAGTTCAGGGAGCGCTTGATGAGCTGGTTCATGATGAAACTGATCCCACCAACAATGAGGAGCGCCTCTCCAGGCGTGAAGCAGCGCGGCAACAAGTAAAGTACAATCAAGCTGAGGTAAACGAAGATCAGCAGTACCTCCAAGACCTCGATGACCTCTGACACTGTCAGAGTCTGCCTTGTTGTGTAGAGGATTGCACAGCTGGCCAGTCCAGCAACAATACAAGTGTTGGTGGGTACGGGTCTGGTGATGCCCAGCGCAATCAGGGAGAGGAACAGGGCCAGCATCATGCCCGTGATGGTGATCACCATGGAGAAGCGCTCAAAGTAGACGTTCCCCGAGGCAGAACACTTTTCTCTTAGCACCAAACCCAACAAAGGCATCACCATGGAGGCCGGAACGATGCCGCTGCTCGCTGCAGGGCGAAACTGAAACACGGCAGCCCCAGACTTGAGCAGACGGTCCCATTTGTGCTGAACGTAGAACGCCTGAATGACGAGGGCCAAGCTGCACCAGGAGTGCTGGTTCCAGACCACCGTGTGGACACACAGCACCGCCGCCAGAACTACAGCAGACTCCACGAGCACCGGGTTTATCTGCATGGCTGTAATGTGGGAGCTCACAGGGAGGGAAGCAGAGAGGAGGGGGTTTGAGCTGAACGGATGGTCTACAACTGACACTTCCTTTCTATGCCCATCTTCATTTTTGTTAATCCATTGTTTACAGATGTCTAGAAGAAAAAAAAAACAGAGGAAAAATTCAGACATGTACAGTTTTTAAATCAGCGAGTCAATATCTTGTCCTAAACATAGCTCTGGCACATGCTTCATCTGCTTTCTGACATAAACTTTGACCACAATGAACACTCATCGGTCATCATGTGTACGAGTATCAGCTGCAACCTTTGATCCAGTGTGGGTTAGCAGGCTGCAAGGCAAACACATGGCCGCCACACCCCACAGAAACAGAACTAAAACAACACAATAAGTCCCGTATTCGTGCTAACACAGCAGAATGAGAGCAGCAGAAGCGAGGACTGTCTCTCCGTGCGAGCAGAGGATGCTGTGACCACAGACCGCATCAAGCTAACAGCTAAAATAACAGCTGAGTGCAGCGAGTTAGCTCAAACAACAGGCGGCGTAGGAACAGGAATACTGCCTGAAAAAAGACAAGAAGACGTACCACATCAGTGCGGTGTCATCTGGACCGAGATAAGTTCATATGAGTCAAAACCGTCACGTAATGATGGGGTCTTCCCTTCGTCAGCTGTCAGTGTTCTCACTCTGTAGGAAGGGGGCCATATTTGACAGCGATGTCACGTGGCAAACGCCGAAAAAAAGTAGGTAGACTCGTAAACGTCATAAGGGCGCAAGACCCGGCTAAAAGTGATGCTGAGCGGCAGAGAGGAGTTTATCTCTGAAATGTTTGAGGAAGGAGGACTTTTTTGGGTTTGAGGAAATGGTTACCTGGGGAGTGTCGTCATAAAACAGTAACGAGTTATTAAAGTAATCTAAGTTGACTTGGTCATTAATAGCTGACAGCATATTTGTGCAGATGAGAAATGATAAAGTAGAAGCTCCGCTCACTTGGTGGTCCTTCATGGTCGCGGGCATATAAATGGTGTGGACTCATTGTTTCCACTGTAAGTAAACAACGAATTTATGTGAAGAAAATGTTTAATGGCAAAGCCTTTAAAAACGTCATATCAAACATACAAAATGTCATTTGAAACTTTATAATGAATAAATCTCTGTTAGAGTAAATCATTTCAGCTGACTTCAATATATTTTTCTTTCTTTCATTTTTTTCTTAAACTTAAAATTATTTAACTAGAAATCTTAATCGCTCTTAATATTATAATTGTTAGGACGTATGATTAAAGTATTTACTCATTAAGTAATTGCTCATTATTTGTTATATACAATTATTGGTTATGGTAATGCTCATTTTCAGTCATTTCTTTCTAAATTTGGTAAAGCAAAAACATAAACATGTGTTTATTTCCTAATATTTTCTAAATGTTTGACCGTGGAAAAATATTAGATTGTCTAATTATCAAATAAAAGCTAACAAAAACCGTGCGCTACGAGAAAACGCTGAACATGAAGGGAAAGACATCCCGAAGTAATAATTTTCCCCCAGACGATGGCAGTGAAGCATCATTGATAAGCACCTAATAAACTCACGAAGAAGAAGATAATCTGAAGCAGCCAATCACGAGCCTGCGCACTGACCAATCAGAAAGCAGGACCAAAGATGGCGGAATCGGAGTTGAGCGTCAGGTAAGAAACACTGTCACAAAGTTAATTTAAGACTTGCACTGTTTAAATAGTTTTAAGTGTGTGTGTCAGTAAGTAAATACGTCTGTATAACATGTATAGCCATTAAGTGAAAATAGTATCAGCGGAACCATTCGACAATTCATTTTAGCTTAGTTAGCACCACGCTCATAGCTTAGCGAGTGCTAGCGGCTAAATTTGAAACGGTTAAGTAGCGCGGCGCCGCATGTCAACAACAGCAAAATCAAGTTTCTGTGGGTTAGTGAGATGATTCGGGTAGAATGATGGATTACCTTGTGCTTGTGTATGTTGAACATATATAATTCGCTAAAATACCCAGAGTAATAGCCATTTGATAAAGAAGCTCACGTCACATATGGAAAACCACGTAAAGTTGTTTAAAAAGTTTCATGCAGATTTACTTTGAACGTTAACCTGAAAACTGAAACCAATTCAATATTTAGCTTGTTAGGTTGTTACAATTAATCAGTATGAACACGATTTTTTATTTTAAAACTAATTTGGTATAGAAGATTACCGTACATGATTAGGACAATACCACATAAGGTTACCTAGTCAAGAGAATGAGATCATGTCTGTCCTGTCTATTTGAAAAGTATTGTGGATTTTCAGTTGCATATCGATTAAAAATCGTGTGGGCTATAGCCTTATGGGCTGTAGGGTTGGCTAAGTGTGGTAAAATATAATAAAGATTGATTTGGAAGTGCCAGGGCCATAAAGGTGAGGGGGAGGGTTTTGACATCAAAGTTGGGTAGTTGAGTTTGAGCTTGTTAAACTTTTTTTTAAGTATGGGAAATAAATGCTCATTGGAAAATATTCAGGAGATGAAAAAGACATTTGAAATCTGTACCAGCCTGTTTCTAGGGCCGTTTAGGAGAAAACCCAGTGTGCAGTCAGTGTAAAAGAAAAGAAGCGGTTTAGGTAGATGTCAAGTGAATTATGATTAAGGTATTGTTGGTGTATTTACCCATGCATATCAAATACTATCTGTGACATGCACCTTATTCCAACTAGACAACTGAAAGAACATTCACTACTTCATTACAATGTGTGACCACTTCAAACTGGATCTTTTAGTTGCTTGCTCGAAAAGCAAATAAGCACAGAGCATCATAAAGTCACCTGTCAGTATGACAAGTATTGATTCTTTAAAGTCAAATTTGCATAAAGGACCTGAACTGTATCATTGTTTTGACATCGATACATTTCTGAAATGCAGTTACTGCTTAAATATTTATTAACATTTCCAACACCAGCCCTACAGAATCTCACAAGGCAAGATCAGTGAACAAGGCCAGGCTAATTCTGGCAGATGTTGATCACCCACTCCATGGTGAGTGCAGGTTGCTTCCATCTGGATGCAGGTATCTATTGCCCATATGTAGGACGAACAGACAGAAAAAGCTCATTTTTCTCTGTAGCGATCAGGCTTCTCAATGAACAGTGATGATTTTTGTACTGTTATTTTAGTGTCTTGTCTAGTATGGATGTTTTACGTGTCACCTGATTGTGAAACAAATTCCCCCTTGGGGATAATAATGATTCTTGAACTTGCACATTTAATTAAGCTCATTCATGAAACAGATGCTGCATGGAAAAAATAGATTTTAAATGTCAGAACAACTTTATATAAAACAATACACTGATTTGAATCTTTTAACCCCTTAAATCCATTACTCACAGCAGGTGATCAGCTAAATGATTTGCTGTGCAAATTATAAATTGTTTTTTGCAATGTACTGTTGACGAACTTCAATTCTTGTGGCTTGTTAGCAAGTATTTTAAAAATGTGATATCTACTGTGTATGCATTTGTTGCCAACAACAATCAAAACTAAATTACGCTGTAGAAGCAACTCACACATGAAAACTTGTTGTAATCCATTTATCAATATATTAAAAAAAGATTTTATTTAATTGATAAGCATTGTTAATCAAGTTCAATTATTTTCCTTTTGTTGCTCAAATAGTTTCTTCAATATATTTACTGTTAATTGTTGTTAGATAATTTTTATTTAACCTTCATTGTTGCACAATTTTAACTTTGCTTTTAAATAGTGATGTTTTATGGAAACTGTTGGGCTGTTGAAGTTTAACATCTTGTTCATAGGGCTGCTGCTTGGATGAAGTCAGATCAGGTCTTTAATATGACCCAGGAGATATTTTTGTTTCCTGCTAAACAAATGAAGATAAATGCATTCTCTATCAGTGGTACCATAACTTGTATAATTTGACCCACAGTAGACAAGTTGCAGAGACTCATGGCTCTGACTATTATTAGTTGAAGTATAGAAACATTGCTAATAAGTGATTTAACAAAGAGCATTGTCAACCAACCACATTATCCATTTCTGATTACTGCTGCTGTTTCATTGTAACAGTTGAGGCTAAATATCCTACTGGCCTTCATTCCTAAAGTAAATTTGTTTTCTCTGGGCTGTTTCAAGACCTACAGTATTTCACAACCCATCATGGTGTCCCAACCCCAGCTTTGAAAAACCAGTGTTCTACCACCTCTGGTAGTAGCCTGGGCAGTCTGAGCTGAGAGTGGTCTCAGATTTTATCCTGGGTGTTTAGTAAATAAAACGGCTCAGAAATTTTTAAATTACCCTGATTTGCTTAAAGTATTATGACTAACAATTTATGATTTTACATTCAACAGAGGGATATATACTTGTACATGTTCAATACCCATACACATACATTCTTAGTACTGCTAATTGTTTTACTGAATTACGCCACTTTCCTTCTCTTAGGAGCTGTCGAGAGTTATGGACCATTCTACTGGGGAGATCTGCACTGAGAGAGACGGTAAATTTGCTTGCTATTATGTATTGATCAGTTATTTTTTATACTTCTGCAGGTCTTAACTTTTTGGCCAAATATGTAAAACAATATGTTTTTACGTTTGATGGTTGCAGGCTCAGATAGAAGGAGAACTTGACAGACACTGGGACAGACTGCATCAAGGACTCAGTTACTACAAGCCACCCAGGTGCAGTTTTGCTTAAGTTTTTATAGATCAGATGCATAATTCTTCCTTATTAAATTGTTTATTGTCTGCATCACCATGTAGCTCATCCTCTGCTGGGAAAGTGAAAGTTAACAAAGATGTTGCACAGCCACTGAAAGACTTCGGTTTGCGGATTAGTAAATTCTTGGTAAGATGATGTTCTACACATCTTGTAGTTTTCAGTTGGTGTTTTTTTTTAATGATTTGGTAATTGAATATCTTGATGATGTTGCAGAATCTGGATGAGCAGCAGAGTGTGCAGCTTTTACAGTGTTATCTACAGGAGGACTACAGAGGAACCCGTGATTCATTAAAGGTTTTTGTCCTCTTCTTGTTTTAGTTCAACCAGAACTAAAGAGCTTAGGTGAAAAATGAAATTGTGAAGATTATGGTTAACTAGAGTCTTCTCAATAGGTTGTTCTGAATGATGAGCGACAGAGCCAGGCACTTCTGCTTAAGGCAAGTACAAAAATCTGCAGTTATAAACTTGCTTAAAGTTTATTCATTTTGACATGATGATTTTGTATTTTCGTTCACAGATTGCAGATTATTACTATGAGGAGCGCATGTGTCTGCTCAGATGTGTTCTCCTCCTGCTGACGTACTTTCAGGATGAGCGACATCCTTATCGGGTGAGTGGCAAATACACGTTTTTCCATTATTGTTTTTTCTTTAATAAAAGATGTGGGCCTTTTTATGTAACTTCATTTGTGTTTGTTTTCTATCAAGGCGGAGTACAGTAACTGTGTCAATAAGTTGGAGAAAGACCTGGTTAGCAACTATCAGTCGCAGTTTGAAAATCTCTTCAAAGCTGAGGCGCCAACATGGGAAACTCACGGCAACCTCATGGTAAAAGAAGATTCAGGTTTGATTATCACTGTTGTAATCCAGCCGGTTTACTCACATTGTCTCCCTTTGTTTTAAAGACGGAGAGGCAAGTTTCACGGTGGTTCCTGCAGTGTTTGAGAGAACAGTCTCTGTTACTGGAGATTATCTTTCTGTACTATGCTTACTTTGAGATGAGCCCGTCCGACCTTCTCAACTTTACCAGAATGTTCAAAGAGCAGGGCTTTGGTTTGCGGCAGACAAACAGACACCTGGTAGACAAGAGCATGGATGCTCTGGTCGACCGAATCGGGCAAGTATCTTTTGTGTTTATGCTCCATATAGTAAAGTTAGTTAGATCCATTTGTTGTATTGTATAGGACAATTTGCTGCTTTTCAAATGAGTTTATTTGTTTTTCAACTATTTTGTGACCGCACTGGTTGAGCTAACCTTTAAAGTATTTGATGCTTAAACTCCACACAGAGACAGTATAAAGTTTAATGGTTGTACTTTTTTGTTTTTGTGTCTCTTTATATATATTTCTACCTAATGTCAGATATTGTGTTACTGTAGCATAAGGAATCCCATGTATTTAAGTTTCATAACATTCTTATTTTAAGTGTCTTTTGTTACAGTGATTTTGGAGTATTGACTTAAAAATTGTATATCTGTTTGAATAAGAGACACATTTGATATAAATATATTAAAAGATCCCACAAACTGCATTTACAGTTGCATCAGAGCTATTGGAAATAAAAACAGAATAGAGTAGAAATTCAAAATGCCCTTGAATGCTAATTTATGTGGATCATATTGAATTTTAAATGCGATCTATCTGCTCAAACACGAGGCCAGTAAAAAAAATGCATTTGATGGGATTGAGAATGGTACTGTAATTGAAATGACAGATTTTCACAGATTGTTCTCTTCAGGATGAAAAAAGTTGCAGATTAAATATAGAAATCATTTTGTAAATGTATTTACGTTTTTCATTGAAACTAGTAAATATAACATTTTACTTTGTATCTCAGGCATGCAATAGACTTTTAACAAATAATTCTATATAAATTAAACTTTTGAGATTTATTTGTTTGTTTTTTTTTAATTGACAGAAACTTGAGCTCTCTTATCCTGATTGAGGGGATGGACATAGACTTCCTGCATAAGTGCGCTCTGGAGGATTGTACAGAACAGCACCAGTTTTCTTCTGTTCCCAACGTCATTAAGGTTTGGCTTGGATCTCTTAACTGCTATAATTTATTTTCAGATTTCATTAATTGTGATTAATGTCAGAGGAGTTTCTGGGGAACTTCTGTGAGGGAATCTAGTTGTTGGGGAAAGACTTCAGCGGGGAGGAGTTACGGCCAGGTACCCCTCCTCCTGTGCCCGTCAGTAGTCTCAAGCCCGTTGTGTCCCACCCTAGCTGTCATATTCACCTGGGCTCCAAGAGGTCGGTGCGGGAATGGGTAAGTTCTGGTAGCTTCCCTAAGGTGAAGGAAGTTTGCTCTGAGTAGGAGCAAGATGGGGTAACTGGGTGAATGGTCCAGCACATTGGGGATGCAGGGGGAAGGGAGGCTGTGGTTAATGTGGTGTAGTGGGGGATCTATGCTGCTGTAGAACTCCCTGACTGTGGGGATCATGTTGCTGGGAGACTGGTCCAATGGAGGTAAGAAACCTCCTCCTACAGCAAAGCCATGGCCAGCCTGGTGGGAGAAGTTAAGAAGCAAAAGTAGAGGTCTGTATTGGAGCCAGCAGGACCAAAGAACCCTCCAACATCTTCCCCGATCACTAGAGACTGGGTAGATGGGAACGCAGGGAGACCAGTTGTTAAATGTGGTCAGTGAAGACGAGGCGGAGACAGACTGTGCACAGCTTGTACCAATCCCCAGGTTGTCCTGGTATTCGAAGGTGCCCAACACTGGACTCCATTCTTAACTTCTCCTTTCCGCTGTTGCTCTCCAAGGAACCCTTCTCTGTTGAGACATCTTCAGGAAGGGCTAGACCTTCACCAAGCTTCTGCAAGCCTGAAGACAGGGCCTGAGGCTGGGCCTGGGACTTGTCTGACTCCATAGTCTCTTCTTGCATGTTACTGTGCTGGACTACAGTCCGGAGCAGCCAAGCACTGCACCCATTGACGGAGCAGGTGCTGCTATGAAGGAAGGGGAGCTGGGAGGATTTGAGGGGTGGTGAGGGTGCTGGGCTTGAAGGTCAGGAGGAATCCTAACAGGGAAAGCAGATTTGTTTCTGCCGCCATCCTTCACCAGAACTCCAAAGCCGACGGTCCACCATCTAGAAAGCCCAGTAAATTTTCAGTCGTCTTGGTTTTCACCGTAAGCCATTTCTCTTCGTCTTCCAGGAGATGGATCAGCTGCTGCTGACTTTCGGTGACATTCCTCATCATGGACCTGTGTTGCTGGCTTGGGTGCTGCTGAGACACACACTCAGACCTGATGAGTCCAGTCCTGTGATCAGGAGGATCGGCAACACGGCGTTGCAGCTCGGGGTCTTCAAGTACCTTTCAACCATGCTGAAAGGCCTCGGAGTCTCAGGCAATAACGTAAGATTAGAAAGATGCACACGAAAGATTCATGCAAATTCAAAATCAACATTTTAATAGATTATGGCATAAAACAATAGTTTCTGTTCAATAATACCTGTCTTTTCAACACATTTGTTAGTTACAGTAAACATTTTAATTCCTCAGTGTTAATAATCATTTTCTACGTTGCAAAGTTATTTATAAAAATTAAATCATGTGTCACGAGTTTAATTAAAATAATTTAAAATGTTTTCAGCATACCCTACATTTAGACCCGTTTTACATGACATTTACACAATTTCTTTACTTACTGAACATTTAATAATTAATGTTTGTACTTACAAGAGTGTGTTTTCTGTTTAAGAATAATTTATATTTGATCTTTATCTTTTCTTTACTATTTTACCAGTGTACAGCAAGCACGGCAAAAATGTGCATTTATGGCCTCCTCTCATTTGTAATCACCTCCTTTGAAGAAGAAAGCCTACAGGTAAAGCTTGATTTTACACTTTTAAATATTTGCATTAGTATTTATAGCCTGTGTTAGTGTTTTTTATTATTATTTATTTAATGCATCTCAGGGTGAAGGTGTGGAAACACAGACCTCTCATTTGATTGATGCTGCCTGTGAAGTTCTCTCTGCTCCCAGTTTGGCTGAAGTCTTTTGGGAAATGGTGAGGGCATAAACACAGAGATGATTCTTGGAGATATAATTGACATGAATGTGTTATTAATTATAAAATCCATTTTAATGTAGAAGCCAAACATGGGACTGGGGATGATCCTGGACAGTGCAGTGGGTATGTTTCCTCATAAGATAGGACCTCTGCTGCAGCTTCTGACTGCACTTGTGTCAAACAAGTCCACTGTTAAAAAGGTAAATTGTGATTGTGCAGAATGTTTAAACCCAGTGCCTTTTAAGTGCACACTTTAATAATATAATTTCATGTTTGGCAGGTGTACAACTTCTTAGATAAGATGTCCTTTTACACACAAGTTTACAAACACAAGCCGAATGACATCATTTCCAAGGATGATGAGACTCTGTGGAGGAGACAAACTCCAAAACTCCTCTACCCTCTGGGTTCGTTTCTCAACGAGTTATTTTTTTAAATACAGAGAAAGTGTTGGTTTCTTTAGTGCCTAGTAAATATTTGTATATCTTTTCATTTTATGTATATAAAGAATTTAATGTTTTCCCCCTGTTTGTTTTGCTTTACAAATCTTCCTTCTGTTCATTCAATCCAACCATCAGGCACAGGGCAGACGAACCTGTGGATGCCACAGGGGGTGCTGGGCCAGGTGATAATCGCGGGTGAACAGGGCTACATGGTGCGCTGGGACTACTCCTACAGCGCCTGGACTCTGTTCACCTGTGAGGTGGAGATGCTGCTTCACGTTGTTTCAACTGCAGGTACGCAAAAAAAAACGGTCAAATGCTCGAGGTTTTATTAAACACTACGCTGCACATTTATTTAGTTATTTATTTTCTCTAAATCATTTTTAGTGTAGCGTTTTGTGTGCCACTAACTATTTACTTTAGCCGGAGTTGTCAGTGTAATGTTAAGTCATAACCTTTCTGGTGATTAAGAAAACTTTGAGTATTAATGTGTTTTAAAACAAGAGCAGTCGTCCAGCGTTAATTGTTGATGATGTGTTCATCTGATAGTTGCTTCTGTGGATGTAAGTTGATAAAAATAAAGATAAAAGGAACATAAAGTTGCAAGGTACACTTTGTTGGAACGTGTAGTCACACAGTAAATAAAATATCTGAATACCGGTCCATTAGTCACAGTCTGGTGCCTTTGTTGACAATATATGTCATCAAAGCTAATTCATAGGTTTTCACTTTCAGGAGATTTGTATAAAAATTTATAAAATTAAGTCTAAATTTTTAAATTTCATCATTGTAGTTTATTTAGGCTTTGATAAAAATCTGTCCTGTGCCCGTTATTAAAAATCCCGTTTGATTAATTAAAATCACACTGTTCTGATTAATAAACTGTTTTGCGTTTGTCTTCTTGTTCTAGACGTTCTAGCTCACTGTGCACGTGTGAAGCCCATCCTGGATCTGATCCATAAGGTCATCAGCGTAGACTGGACTGTGTCCGATTGTTTGTTACCTCTCACATCACGCATCTACATGCTGCTGCAGAGGTAAACACTTTATCAAACTGCATTGTTTGTGTGCTTGTTTATAAAAAGCTTTGATTAATAACCTGGATCTTTGTCTGTCAGGCTAACTTCAGTCATTAACCCTCCAGTGGATGTGATTGCCTCCTGTGTGAACTGTTTGTCTGTACTGGCTGCAAGGATGCCAGTGAAGGTGGGTGCAAGGGGTAATGTAAACAGGAGAAATGAGAGTCTGATCCTAGTTTCACTTCCCTTATTTTTCTTTTTTTATTCTCTTTTTTTCACTCTCAGTTGTGGTCCAGTCTCCAACACACAGGTTTCCTCCCTTTTGCCTCCAGCCCTTTAACTAGCATGTCTCAGTGCATCAGGTAAACAAACAAAAAAATGATTTTGACTTTTCCTGGTACCGTTTTTCTTCGGCCTATAAGGCGCAATAAGCGAAACAAAACAGTCAGATAAGTCAAATTTTATTCAGCTCATTCACAGTAACTCTCAGAATTGTTCAGTTGTACCACATAAAATACAAAACAATACACTCGATACAAAACGATGCACTCGATACAAAACGATACACTCGATACAAGACGATGCACTCTATACAAAACGATGCACTCGATACAAGACGATGCACTCTATACAAAACGATACACTCGATACAAAACCATGCACTCGATACAAAACCATGCACTCGATACAAAACCATGCACTCGATACAAAACCATGCACTCGATACAAAACCATGCACTCGATACAAAACTATACAAATTTTTGAGTGCCGTGTACCACTTCAACTCGCTTCAAGGTCAGTAAGCACAACCAAAGTTAATACATAACCCTACATACATATCTGGATTATAAGGCTCACTGTTGATTTTTGAGAAAATCAGATTTTAAGTGCAACTTATAGTCCGAAAAATACGGTAAATATCAAACTGTGATTTATGAGAAGTCAAAGCTCGTTTTTTTCCTTAGTGCTGAGGGGATGAAGGCAGGAAACTATGGTAACTTGTTGGTCCAGATTGAGCAGCCCAGGGGCGAGTATGCAGTGACGATTGCCTTCCTTCGTCTCATTACAACTCTGGTTAAGGTAGCAACAGTTTTAAAAGACACAATCTTCTAATCTGAAGTCCTGTTGTGTAAAAGGTGGCATATCTTCTAATCTGAAGTCCTGTTGTATAAAAGGTGGCATTCATGTTATCTGCATTTCAGGGTCAGCTTGGCAGCACCCAAAACAAAGGTCTGATCCCCGGTGTGCTGCTGGTGTTAAAGGAGATGCTGCCCACATACCATAAGTGGCGCTACAACACCTATGGAGTCAGAGAGAGAATAGGTAGATTATTATTATTATTTTTTTTTACTATTTTTCCACATCATTAGGAAAAAAAAACTAACAGCTGGCTTCATTGCTGCAGGTTGTCTGATTTTGGAGTTGATTCATGCCATTCTCAATCTGAGTCCAGAAGCAGAGGACCATGGAAGGTATTGTTGCAAAAATGTTATTTGTTTGTGTAATTTTCTGTAACATATACAGTAAGGCTTGTTTTTACTTCTTTGTTAACAAGATGAACGATTGTCAACATTTCTTATTTTATGTTTTGACAAAGGTACTGTGATAAAAGTTTCACTGAATAAAATATGATTCGGACCTAATAGATATTTGGTTGTGAATTGACTGTTTTCTTTCTCGGTGCAGCACTCCCACCCTGCAGTCTCTTTGCATCTACAGTCTGGCAAACACTGAAGCTGGACAAGCTGTCGTCAACATCATGGCAGTCGGAGTGGACACCATAGACCTAGTCCTCGCTGCACAGCCGAGCAGGTGAACAGTCAGTGATGCGTGCATGCTAGTTTTAATTTACCAGTATAGTGTTTACAGCTGTATGGGTTCTTGTAAATTCAGCAGTCTTATTTTTCTGTTCGTTCTTCCCGACACTGTCCAGCTGTGGCTCTGAGGGTCCTGGTCAGGTCATGATCCAGACAGTCAAACTGGCCTTTTCCGTCACGAACAACGTTATTCGTCTGAAGCCACCATCTGATGCGGTGTCACCCCTAGAGCAGGCGCTGACACAGCACGGCGGTCACGGCAATAACCTCATAGTTGTCTTGGCCAAATATATTTACCACAAACATGACCCTGCACTACCTCGTCTTGCAATCCAGCTCCTCAAAAGGCTTGCCACTGTAAGAATCTCACTGCAGTGCATTGATGTGGTACCTGGTGGGCTTGAAGTGTTGCTAAATGTTGCTGTTAAACTGCAGGTGGCTCCGATGTCGGTGTACGCCTGCCTTGGCAGTGATGCAGCAGCCATCAGGGATGCATTCCTTACTCGGCTGCAGAGTAAGACAGAAGATATGAGGATCAAAGTGATGATCTTGGAGTTCCTCACTGTTGCTGTGGAAACCCAGCCAGGCCTCATTGAGCTCTTCCTCAATTTGGAAGTGAAAGATGGAAGCGAAGGGTCAAAGGTACGAAATTCACGAAACGTGTTTTTTATTTTATTATTGCTGCATCTGGTTTAACGTATTTGGTTCTAACTCATAGGAGTTCCTGCTGGGTGAGTGGAGCTGTCTCCACGTGGTGTTGGATCTGATTGACTCCAAACAGCAGGGGAAGTACTGGTGCCCCCCACTTCTTCACAGAGCAGCCCTGGCCTTCCTCCTGGCCCTGTGGCAGGATCGCAGAGATAGTGCCATCTCAGTTCTGCGCACCAAGTGAGTGTTTTCTTTGAACAACAACCTGAAAATGCATCCAGATTTATGCTGAGGGAAACTGCTTTTTTTTTTTTTTTTTTTTTTTCTGCAGGGAAAAATTTTGGGAAAATTTATCAACACCTCTTTTTGGAACCCTTATCCCTCCTTCAGACACCACAGAGGTATTGATTCATTGATTTTCATTTTCAGCTACAACTTTCACTTTAGTAAACAGATCTATTAACTCAGAGTTGCCATTTGTCCTCAGCCCTGCGTCCTGGAGGCCTGTGCATTCGTCATGAAAATTATTGGCCTGGAGATTTACTATGTTGTCAGGTAGATTTACAGCCCACATTTGTGTTTTTGACTAGAAATACACAGATCTTGTACTGATATTTCCTCTGTGTGGGTTGCTGCAGCGGTTCTCTGGAGCAGTCTCTGAAAGATGGGCTTCAAAAGTTTTCTAACGCACGGCGCTATGAGTACTGGTCCCAGTATGTCAAGTCGCTGGTGTGTCATGTGGCGGAGTCCGAGGAGGAGGGCATCTGCTACTTCTCAGAGACACAGATGTTGATCTCTGCATGGCGGATGCTGCTGATACTCTCCACCAGCCACGTATGTCACAGTTAATTCAGCAGTTTAGACATTTTGTGGATGCAGGATATCCTTTTGTTTACTTCCTAAAAATATTTGAACCAGTTTCCAGCTCTGTTCATAAAACTAAACCAAGCTTTCATCACCTTTGAAGTTCTTTTTTTTTTTTTTTTGCCGTTTGTACATTATGCAGTCAATAAAACTGCAAATATTGATTGTAATTTGAATTTTGGGACAAATTTAGATGAACATAATATTAAATTTTTCACATTTACGAGCTTGTGTTAGAGTTTATTTGACAAATGTCATACTAAGAAATATACTGAGCAAATATGAACTTTGTTTTAATCTGATACTGATCTCAGGCCGATGTGATGCACCTGACTGACGACTCCACCAAGATGAAACTTTTTATGGATGTCCTGGATGGGACTAAAGCAGTTGTAAGTTATTAAATTAAACGCACCATGTAATTTATGGCTTCTTATGCTTTTTAAATTAAATTTTTTAATGTGTTATCGTTTCTACTACTCCCCACCTCGTCTTTTTTAGCTGACCACACCGACGTCTGTGCCTTGTCTCCGTCTCGGATCCATGATGGCTACGCTGCTGCTCATCCTGCTCAAACAGTGGAAAAGGTCTGTGTTATGCTTTCGATCGGGAAGCATCATTTTTCTCGTCGAGTCTTGTTCTCTGATGGACCGTCCTGTCTGCAGTGTTGTAGTGGCAGCTCCTCTCTCCCTCATCCTGGAAAGTGTCTTACAAGCTGACCAGCAGATGATGGAGAAGACCAAAGCCAAAATCTTCTCTGCACTCATTTCTGTGCTGCAAATTCAGGGACTCAATGGTAGGAAACATGAATTTATTTCATTTTTTTCTTCATGTTTGAAACAAACGCTTCAGTGATTGATTTGACTTTTGGATTGTAAACTAGGTGGAGATATTTCCCAGCTGCCCCAGCTGTTGCTGTCCGTGTGTGAGACGGTTAAAGAGGAGGCGCTGGCTCTCATCGACAGCACTCGTCACATGAGACAGATGGAAGACACGGTGGAGAACGAGGACAGCATGGAGACAGATTCTCCTCGGGGTCTACATAAGGACCAGAGAGACGGGGTAAGCAAAGCAAGGAGGCAGTGATGAGCAGATTTTATTCAAAATATTTCTTTTGTCTAGAAATGTAAGATTGCTTCAAATTCCTATTTTCAAAGTTTAATTCTAGTATTTTAAATATTTCTAAATACCAACATTAGTTTTTTATTGTAAATTATCAACAATAAAGAGGAAAATATTTAATTGATATCTTCTATTTTTGTCTTTAATTTAAAATTTGACTAATTACTCAAAACATCTGTAAAACCTAATCAAAATAAACTTGTGACATAGCCTGAGGAGTGCCCATAGCTTCACGTTCAGTTCATTCTAAATTACCTTCCCACCACTTGTTCTTTTTATTATCAGGTGTGTGTTTTAGCGCTCCACTTAGCCAAGGAGCTGTGTCGCTCCGATGAGGATGGTGAGCACTGGGTGTCGGTGATGAGGAAGGTTCCAGTCTTGCCCTCGGTGCTGAGCGCGGTGGAGCTCAGCCTTCGTTCCAAACAAAACCTTTATTTCACCGAGGCTGCTCTTCATCTGCTGCTCACACTAGCTCGAACTCCACAGGTAAAAACAAACAAGTCTTCCTTCACGATTTAATTAAATCTTTTTTTTTAATCTATATGAATCAAATATTTTACTCGTCTTTGTTCTTTCAGGGGGCAGCAGCTGTTGCTGGAGCTGGAGTCATCCAAGCTATCTGCCTCCCTCTTCTGAGTGTGTATGAGGTCTCGTCAAATGGTGCATCACAGGTAAAATAAACAGTATTGTTGCGGTTACTTTGTATTTTCTGTGTTTGATGTAGCAGCTGTGACTTTATTCATGCATACGCTGCATTAATATGATTGAACAAAAGTGTATTCATGTCGTCGAGCAGAGTTTCTCTCGGAAGTCCCAGGACTCCGCCTGCTGGCCGGGTGTGTATCGCCTCTGCATGTCTTTAATGGAGAGTCTTCTCAAGACTCTGCGTTACAACTTCATCGACGAAGCCCTGGACTTCGTCGGAGTTCATCAGGAACGTATATTGCAGGTATTACTGCAAACACAAAAAGGGTGCTGTGACGGAAAATACCACTGCTTTTGAATTTGGTTTTTCGTAAGACTCCTGTTAGGCAAATTAATTCAAACAGAATTTTTCTCTCTTAAAATTATCTTTACTGCATTTCCTACCGTACACGTCGCACCGTCCTATAAGTCGCATCAGTCCAAATATGTCTAAAGTGTAAAAATCCATAAATACGTCGTTTTGCCGTATAAGTCGCATTTGTTCCACGTTACCGCTAACGACCTGGAAACGTGGGCCGGTGTTGTGTCAAAAATCGACTGGCTGCCAAATGGCGGCTGCGGGAGCGTGCACGGGAGAACTTTAACAAGAATTTAACAAGATTAACACTTAAAAACAATTATTTGTTTGGTCGACATTATAGTAAAGGTGTGTCTCAGTCTAACTTTTACTTAATAAATGCACTTCGATGGTCAAATCAGCTGCATTACACCGGGGCGGCGCAGCGAAATGAATCTGATTTGACTGTTGCTTAAAGCGAGCAGAACGAAGATGGCAGGCTATGGCAAGCCGATTGTGTCATTAATAGACACTTTTTCCTACTACGACACAACGGCATGCCATACTTCTCAAGTGCCATCTAGCAGCTTAAAATGGTAGTGTTCAATATTTTCAGTCAGAATGAATGAAAACGGTCAGATCTCAGCCAAAAATTGGTTTGTAAATATGGGAAAAATCCATAAATATGTCGCTCCGGTGTATACGTCGCTGGACATGTAAATTATGCAAAAAAAAACCCGCAAATTAAAGGGCAAACAATATGGTGCTTGAAACGATAACCTCCAATTAAAATTCACTGTACAGTAAAAAAATATATATATTTTTTTCAGTGATTTCAAACCCATTAGATCTTATAGTTCTAATCCATATATTTGCAATGTATTTTTTAAACTTTTTATTTGTTAATTTACTCTCAGTTCAAGTCCATGGTTTTGTACAACCCAGAAATATTGTGACCAGTGGAAAAACAAACTCAAAGTGTATCTTTCCCCTCTGCTCAGTGTCTGAACGCGGTTCGAACAGTGCAGAGCCTGGCCTGTCTGGACGAGGCGGATCACACAGTTGGATTCCTTCTGCAGCTCTCCAGCTTCTGTAAGGAGTGGCAGTTTCACCTGCCTAATCTGCTCAGAGATGTGCAGGTAAGTCTGAAAGGAAACGCCGTTATCAAAAGAAACAAAGCTGCGGTTTAGTTTTCTTATGCGCGTTTCCTCACCTTTGCTGTGCAGGTAAACCTGTGTTACCTGTGCCAGACCTGCACATACCTGCTCCACAGTAAAAAGATGCTCCATCATTATCTACAGGTCAGACATCTTGATTAAAAAAAAACAACTCCTGATGCTTATAAATACTGTAGCATCATAACTGTTTGTTTTAAGGTGAAGAATGGTGAGGCGCTGCCCCCTGGTCCTCTACCTAGGGCACAGCGGCCTCCTCAGGACCTGACTAAAGATGCAGCAGGAGTGGGGGAAAGAGAAGAGGCCGAGCAGAAGGCCCTGCTGACCGTACAGTGCAGCCTTCTAAAGATCCTCAGTAAAACTCTGGCCACTCTGCAGCACTTCACTCCAGACTGCTGCCAGATACTCCTGGACCAGGTCAGACTGCTCAGATCACACCTCTTCTTGTCATGTTGGTTATTATGCAAAGTTTTTAACACAGGAACAAACGAGTAAAATACTGATTGTGTTTGTGTGTCAGTGTATGGACCTGACTGAGTACAGGACCCTGTTTGTGCTCAGCTTCACAACCCCTGCTTTTGACCCTGATGTAGCCCCATCATTTGGGACCCTGCTGGCCACCATTAATGTGGCTCTGAGCATGCTGAGCGAGGTAAAGCTTAAATATAAAAATATATAATTCCTACAGTAGATTTAGGATTGCTTAATGGTGTTTATTTACAGATAGAGAAGAAGAAGGAGCCAGCGTCTGTGAGCATAACTTCCCTGGCTTCATCAGAGGAGATCCAGGCTCTAAAGTGAGTAAATCCTGACACCTTCACTGGACTTTGATCACTTTATTTTAAAGGAAAACGTTTGAATGAATGTTGACTTTGATTTTCTCTTTTTCAGGTCATTGCTGATGTTCACCATGGAGAACTGCTTCTACGTGCTGATCTCTCAGGCTGTTCGATGTCTCAAAGATTCCTCCTTCCTCCCTCGAGACAAACAGAGGCTGAAGCAGGAGCTCAGCTCTGAGCTGGTGAGATCTCTAATCCACTCATTTGAGCTGATGAAGCTCGTAAAGAGAGAGTCTGGTCAATGTTTTGACAGCGCAGCCAACAGGTGTAACAAACGAGCAGTAATACGTCTAGCTTTCTAACACAGAACTCCACTCATCCTGAAACCAAGTAAAACAGCAACAATACCTAATAAAATACTGAGTGAAAGTGCTATGTGTTGTCATCATTGTTTCTATACAATGATGAAATTAGTTCTCTGCATTTAACCCATCACACCTGAGATACACCCAGGTGGAGCAGTGGGCAGCTACGTAAGCTTCCGGGGAGCAATTATGGATTGGGTGTCTTGCTCAAGTCCCAAGTCTGCTGCTCTACCACTGCACCACAGCCGTCCCACTTAAGATGACATTGCTTTTGTTGTAGGGAATAATAAGAATTTTAGTACAATAAATTAGATGTGCCCAAGTTCCATTTATTCAGATTTACGTTAGAAATAAATCAGAGCTACTTAAAAGTGAATTACAATAGTCCCTCATTTATAACCCTTCCCACGCTCTTGCAATATTCTAAGCAATGTTTCTAAACGCACTGAGCACAGAATGTCATGATTTCAGCTCTCTGCCTCCTCCGCTCTTTGCCACCTGCAAGCACACTTGGCCACGCCCACTTCTCCGCTCTGCACGGAGAACAGCTGATCGGCTGCAGCAGGAAGTTTATCCTGCAGTGTGGGCTGCACAAAGGTGCAGGAGGAAGATTGTTCTGCAGCTCTCGGCTGCACAAATGTTCAGCAGGTGCTAAATAATTTCAAATAATTTATTTCAAATAAAAACTCCATGCCCATCGTGCGGCTCATCCATCAGCCAGTTGTGTGTCATGTCCAATCTTATCTTGAAAAACCGCGATAGAGTAAGTCCACGATAAACAAACTGCGAAGTAGCGAGAAACTATTGTATAAATCTTTTGTCACTATTTATCTTGCCAGGTGTGCTGCAGTATTTGGAGTATTATAAAAAAGAAAGTAAAGTTGTTTCAGCTGTAAATTGTTTAGTTTATTTGTGAGAGTCTGATCAACACAAAACAAGATGTTCATCTTATGATTATTTAAAACAGAATATTAAAGTTGTGCTAATCTCGTTTCATCTAGACTAAGAAAATATTACATTTATAATAAAGTGTTAGTGAGTGTTACTTTTTTTTTATGCAACCCTGTGTATAGAAATTGTGGAGCAGTATTTCAAAGAGACGATAAATTTTAAATCATCTTCATGTTTTCCTTTGTAGAGTACTCTCCTTTCCAGCCTGTGCCGTCACTTACGCAGGGGGTCGCCATTATCTCCAGCCAGTGGCCTCCCCTCCATTCAGTCCAAACCCTCCGCATCCGGGTCAAAGGCGAGCCACGAGGGCCAGGAGCCCATCATCCAGCTCGTCCAGGCCTTCGTCAGACTTGTGCAAAGATAAATGTGGGTTCCCAAACCCCCACGTCATAAAAATATCAACTTTTTACTTTTAAAATCTTCTCCTGTAAACAAAACAACTTGCATTTCATACCTGTAGATTACACACACACATACGTTTGACTTTGAGTGTTTATTCTAGTATTAGTAGTATATTGTAAAACGTTAATGGGTGTCAAAAAATTGAACACTTGATTCTAATTTTGTAAAAACTAAATTGAAACGGAACCAACGTGTTTAAAACATTCTTAAGAAGCTGCCTGACAGGTTTACTATCGACGAAGAGCTGAGACCACAGATTTCAGTGCTGGTCTTCATCAGTCACTGACTGTGGTCCACTGTTTCAGACCTAGTTTTATAGGTTACCATGACAACCAGAAAGATTTCAAGTGCTCCTTAAGTATAAACTTTGAACAACTGATAAGGTTGATGTTGTAAAGCTGTTACTCTTTTCCTTTTCTCCTCCAAGTCTTGACCTGAATTATTTTTGATTTTGTTATTCAGTTCACATTCTGAAGTGATGGCCAAGATTTGTACTTTAGGATAAATTTTATGCTAATAAAAGGGACTTTTGTATCAGTCAAGGTTGTTTTTCTTTTAATAAAAAATGCTGCAGACTGCTGGATTGACCATGTGTCTTTACTGCATTTGAACATAATTCTTCACATTAGCTCTAAACCATCTTATACAAAGGGTGAAAACTAGTTAAAAACTTGTAATAAAATACATTTTCATATTCTTATATGCAGTTTATAAAAGAATAGAGGAAAATATTTAAATTGCATGGATTTCTATTTACAAAAGTATTTTTCATTCAAAATAAACTTTTTTTTACAACTGTAGTACCAAAACTAAATTAAAGGCAGTTGATGTGCAATTAGGTTACAAAAGGCTTTGTTTTTTAGGACAAAGTGACAATTTTACAGCAGGGCAGGAACATGTTTAAGAAGCAACATTAATACAGGCAGGACTGGGTGTTAAACCTGAAGGTTTAGTAGCAGCAATGCAAAGATGCATCGCTGTGAAGATCTGACGATTCTTCCTTCAGTTTGTAGAAATGGAGAAACTTGTCTACTCGGGCTGCGTGAACTTCATGTCCATTAATGGCCATTGACCGGGACCTCCTGAAAAACAGGTGGACGGTGGGTCGTAACACTGGATATAAAGATTACTGCACAACTTTGAGCACAAACACAGGATAACAGACCACAAAAAATATGCATGCATGTGGCATGTTTCAGAAAAGATTTGACATTTGGATCAATGTACTCTAACCTTGCTGAGAATAAGATAATTGTTAGGTAAAGTGAAGCACTAAATCCACCTGCTGCCATTTTCAAAGCTGACCAGTCAAATATATTAGCTTTATCATTACTATTATTAGCTTTATACTGCAAAAGTTGAGAAAAAAGAATAAGTTGTCCTCCTGCAGCTGATGCATATCTGATATTTTCACTGAATCTTGTTATTACCAGACTTCAGCGCTGTTAGGTAACCAACAGGAAAATAAATATTCCACTTTAGGCCAAAGTTGAATATTTATGCATTATGCAAGCTTGCATAATGAAAAAGTTTCACATTTGACACTTTTTGTGAAGAAAGTAACTTTTTTTTTTTTTTTTGCTTACCCTAAAATGTAGCTTACAGAGGAGAAATTGGCAAACGAGCATAGTTGGAAAAATGTCTTTTTTTTTTTGTGTGTGAAAATGTTTCTTCATGCATCACAAATCAGATCTTTACTAAATCCAGTTTAAATTGTCTGAATTGGGCCCCATTCAGACCTGGACTATCATGTTCTGGATGATCAGATCACATGTAAACAGTTCTGAATACAGATGTGAAATCCTTCAGGATGAATTTAAACGGATGGAGTTAAAAATGTGGAACACTCATTTTGTTCTGTAACAAAAAGTGAAGGAGGACTCCTTACAACTGATTTCACACTAGAAGCAGGCATTGCCTTGATAAAAACTAAAAAAATATGATATCAATCTAAAATTAACAGCTTTTGGGGCGATATGCTGATTTTCTTTATGATTTTCTAGGAAGTGAAGCCTGAACAGAGCACAAAACACTTCACCTTATAAGAATCTGAGCGCTCCAGTGTTATGCAACGAGTTTGTTCGTGTTCAGTGATGTGTGGAAAACAGCTCAGCCTGCCAGTGAACAATCATAAGGTTGAACACTTCTTAATGTTTTTGTCTCTGCTGAGTTTTTAGTGATTACAGAATTCTGTAAAGTCATAAATTATGTTCCTTTGGTTCTTTCATACTGCATCTGCAACACTACATACATAAGCTCGGTATGAAATCTATGGACAGATCTTTACACATCTCAATAGAGATTTCTTTGCACTTAGAACTGAGATCATTCAGGATGGTTTAGTGTCAGGTCTGAACAGGGCCTTAGAGACAATAGTACTGGTACTTTCCTGGATTTTGCCCAAAAAAGGTTTAGAGCTGTATCTCTATGTTTCCACTTCATGTAAGAGCTCAGGAAACTCATGCATCCTCCCACACTAACCTTCGCCTGGTCCTCCAGACAGGCCTTTCAGACCAAAGAGGCTATAATAATTTGTCTATTTTTTTAAATAAAAAAGAGGAACATAAGAAAAAAGAACGATTTACTGAAGGATAATTTACTACTGTGGATAAGAACATTACTGTGCCATCTTACAGGTGAGTCACATCTCTGGGTAGACTTACCTCTAAATTCCCCCTGGCTTTCTTCAACACTCCATGGGTTAAAGACACTGCATAGCGGGAAAAATAAACCATTATTTTCCTTAAAGGTACAATATATTAAGTCAAATCAGTTAATATTGACTGTTTATGTAATAAACAAATTGTAACAATATAAAGCAGATGAGATTCTCCTTTTGAGAAACTAAACAGAGAAAGAACTTTCGCTTTAAATCTACAATTAAAACAAACTAGAAGTGGAGGAATTTCATCGTACACTGGTCAATGATGACTTTCTCCATTCCCTCTTTGAGCTGGTTGGTGGTACGCAGACGTTTAACAGCTCCGCTCAGCATCCTCTCCTGCTGCGACAGCCTGTTCTTCAGTCTGGTTATCTCGTTTTTCAGCAGCTCATCCTGATTTAGAGGTAAACAGAAAAGGTTCGGGTCTTTAAGCACTTGATTAGTGATGGTATTCACAATTTGTGGTTGAGTTTTTGTGCCTACCTGCTGGTTGTTGCTGCCGCCTCCCTCTGTGTAACCAGCTGGCAGAGAGATTCTCCACAGCAGTTTGAGCAGTCGGCCAGCCTCCTCTAACACTTGCTGCATGGTGTTTGAGCTGCTGGATAAACTTTTCAGATGTTGCCTTTCTATTACCTATAAAAATGTACACGATGTTGTTTGTTGAAGCTCATTAATTAGTGCAGCTTTAAGCACGAGGATGTTGTTGGTACCTTGTCATCAGAGCTCTGCTGTCTGAAAATGTGCAGACACTCCTGCAGCTGAGTGTCCATGCTGTGCGACAGTTTACGACCGTCTGAGATCTGCTTGCGGAGGGCGTTGTAGTCTTCAATCAGACCCAGAATGTGGCGTCCGTTGCGATTGGCCCACATCCGGTGACCAGGGACGAGCCGAGAGGGAGCAGCAGAGATGCTGTCACCAGAGCTGCTGCAGACTGAACCATCCACCTCTGACCGAGTGTAGTGCTCCACATCTGAGAAGATTCAAGCACGTCAAGATGTTTTCACATAGGTGTACAATAAAATAAAGAGGCGTCATATCAATGCTGAGCAGGTTGACTCACCGTGGAGGACACTTGTGTGTTCATGGTGACTCTGGAATGAGTGACGTAGAGGATCACAGGCTTCACGGCCAGGTGACCTGCCCCCTTCATCTGGAACAAATGTAAAAATCAGCACAGAGGCTTGTGCATTAAAGATCACGAGCACACATGGCTGTGCCTTGAGTTCACCTGGAGAGGACAGCAGGTAGTTGATGTTGATAGTCTCAGAACGGTTGGGTCCTCGGAGCAGCTGCTCCTCCAGTTTTTGTCGCAGAGCTGTGTTGGTCTGGATGCTCCTCTCCAGCTGCAGCCTCAGATGTTTGATCTCTGACAGAAGCTC